TAGCTTAATTATTGACGTTTTGACTCGATTTCTCCAATTTTCTCAATCTAACTCCGATTGGGATGAAATTTTCTAAATCCTCTCATATACTCCAAAGAAGTATGACCTTAAAATTTCATCCACAAACTCCCACTAAATCATTGGTTACCTTATATGGCAACTATTAATACACGTAGTAAAATTTCAACATGCTTAACATTTTCTCGCATGTAAACACATAATATCCTTCATAAAATGTAAATTAGGCGCACTTAGCAAATAATATGGGAAATTAGAATTGGGATGTTACACATTTGAAGTTTTCATCAAAACAATTAAAATGATACCAAATAAAAAGTTTATGTGGTTTTCTATTTTTATTTTTTTCTCTTTTCTATATTATTTATTATTATTAATATATAATAAATTACATAAATTAATAAAGATATAAAAACCGTATAAAAATAATATTTTGAGGACAGTAAAATGAAAGTTTAAGAAACGTAAAATACAATAAATAAAATTTAAAGAATGAATAAAATGTAAAAGAGAGAACTATTTGATGTTTTAGAAGAAAATTAAGTTTTATTTTGAGGTTATATTGGTAAAATATAAGTCTATTCCACCTTGTTCCACCCTATTCCATGGGGTAGGGTTGGAACAAGCCTGTTCCACTCTGTTCTTGTCTGTTCCACATAAAATTCATGTCAAACATGGGACAGGGATTCCTGTTCTGTTATGTCTTGTCCCTGTCCAGTGTACCAAACGCACCCTAAAGGGTCATTTTGCAAAACGAGCTTATGGAGAAGGTCATTGAGCTAAATAGTTGTGACATGAATCTTAATGTGCAGATAAAAGAGGTTGAAGAAAAGCCAACTACGCAATCGGAGTGGTTAGCACCGATACGATCCTTTTCTTATGAAAAGTCAAATGAACGGAAAACATGGTCAACGGCACACACCCCGGTGGGAGTCATGACTCAAAATCGAAGATTTTTGAAGTCTAGCAATCAACTACACATGGGTCGATACTGGTTAAAGGCACCAAGTCACTTCGAGAATTAAGGCGTAAACATGATAGAGATGGGGTCGAAAACACTTTGATTTCTTCCTTATTGGTTTCATCGGCTTCTTTAGTTGATGAAAAGGTGTATCAGATTGACCCTTCGAAAGCATTTGCAGATCGACAAAGCTGTTTGCGGGTTCGAGTAACAAAGAACAAGCTCAAAAGGTGAAGGAAAGGGATGTGAATACTAGAGTTTGGTCAAGATAATGGAATGGAAATAGAATCATTGTTTTATTTTCTAACTAATTTTTATGATTATGTTAGTTGTGTACAAATCAATTGTTTGAATTTTTAGGGGGCGTTTGGTTCGTCGAAATCCTCTGAAATCTGATGGAATTGGAATGGTCAATTCCGTGGACCAAATTCCATTCCAATGTTAGATTACCCATGGAATGGAATTGAATTACAAAGATTTCACCATTCCTTCCTAAAACTAATGGAATTGAAATCCATTCCATCCAAAATTGTGTAAATGACAAAAATACCCCCATGGCAACTGGTTCCATTCTCTTGATTGCTTCCTACCCGAATTTTGCTTCCATTCTCTCGATAGCTTCCAACCGATCGAATCGAAGATAGTTACGATTTCTGCTTCTGGTTTCTACTTACTTCGATTTCTGCATATGATTTTTGTTCCGATTTTAGTTCGATTTCCGCTTATGAAATGGTGAGGAGAAGCAAGTTGGGGAAGGGGAGTCCGATGATGGAAAGGCGAAGTAGAAGACCGACGATGTGAAATTGAACCTWGCAATCAAAACCCTCTGAGACATTGGGGGAGAAATCGATCCTCTGAAATCGAAGCATATTTCTTTGTTCCTTTTCTCTTGTCGTTTGAAAACAGAGCAGAAGCAATCATCAATTGTTCTTTTTCTTCTTGTCAAAATCGTAGGATTTTCATCTTGTGGTTCGATCTCCATCCCTGTGGAGAAGCAGAAGCAGATTTTCGTCCTTGTGCAAAAACATATATTCGTCCCTGTGCAGAAGTAGAAACAGATCTTTGCCCTTGTGCTTCTTCCCCATGGTTCGATCGATCTCCCCTCGTAAGGTTTTTGAATATGCTTCTACAACCCACAAGTCCGAGTCGGTATTYGTTTTCTTTATTCAAATTTTATTTAAGGGTTTCTTTATCATTTGGGGTTCATATGTTTTTGAATCTCTTCTACAACCCACATAGGTGGCACACAGAAAGGGTATTTTTGTCTTTTTTTCATCATTCCATTCTAGTTCTGTTGCAAACCAAACAGGCAGATTCCAATTTATTAGACAGATTACATTATATTCTTGTCAACCAAACATGATAACATTTCATTCAAATTCCTTCAAGATCCCAATTCTTTTGACAGATTCTATTTCTTTATAAATCATTGTGCGAACCAAATACCCTCTCATGTTTCATTTTAATGTAGGAATCGGTTTTTTCAATGGATATAGGGGTAGAAATCACATGATCCGTAAGTATCACATTTAATCGTGTGGGTAGAACTTTGACGGTGTGATTTATAGTTTATATTTTCTATGGTCTTTATTTACTTATTTAAAAAATTAAACATGTTAAAACAAAATAAAAAGAACTTATAAGAAACAGAAATTATTTTTTCTTTATAAGGAGTCGTTTATTAAACTTTTACCGGGTAAGTGCTTACCGGGTGTCACTTGTCTCATTAGTAAAAATGGCAAGGACCGATAATCTTACCTAATAAGAGGCACAAAACAAACCAAGAATTTTACCCGATAAGTGAGAGAAAACTTTTACCCGGTAAACGCTTGCCGGATAGTAAATGCTTACCACAATCCATTTTGATGGCTGTATAAGTGGGGGCGATCTATATATATTTGGTGTAAACCTATTTTGTTGAAAAATTACAGTTTTTGCCCTCGTTTCTCAAATTACAGTTTTCGTCATTATGGTTTATATTTCTTTTCAGTTTTCATATGGCAAAATGCCCATGACTTCAATAGTACCACGGCCGAAAACCAAACCAAACCAAACCAAATTGTAAAACCATGACTTGAAGAAACCAATTTTCAACAATTTTATAACTATAAATTTACATATTTCATAACAATTTTGATTTATATCTCTTATAAAATTATTTTTATAGATTTATTTACAAAAACAATACAAGGTAAATTCTTACAACAGTAACCTGGAATTTAGACAAGTCTCAAGATTATGATGGCCTYACAAAAATTTACGTTTAGAATGATTTATAATTTGCTGTTGTTCAGTCTTTTAAAGTTACAACTCCACTGTTTCTGTTTTGGTCCACTTAAAGTCTAGAGACGGAAATCCACAGGGACAAAAAACATAAATTAGTCTAATAATCATAAACAAGCAAACTTGTTGAATCATATAATTGATTCAGATGCTAAATGACTCTAATATAATGCAACTAAGTAAAACAGCCAATAAACTGTTCCAATGTACAATTGCAGGGCAAGTTTGCAAACCCAACTTCTAACAGAAAATTGGCAACAAATAAAAACTGCCAACTAAATAAATAACGATTAGAAAGAAAAAAACTTCAATTTTTTGACAAGCTCAAACTGTACACTAGTATATCAACGCATGTATCTCTTGTTTGATTTTGATAAAAATCTTATCTACATCCATCACCTTCTCCTCTCACTTTTTAACCAAAACCAAACCCTTCATTAGCTTCATGAATTGCAAGCAATAGCCTCTCCTCCAGATGTTCTTTTGAAGGATATTCTGGTAAATCCAATTGATTGAAACTGCATAAAATTTAAATAAATAAATAAACCATTGTTACTCTTGTCATACATTTAATTTATTGGACTCTAAAACTATATACTCTCTCCACCTAAAAATAAATGCAGGAAATTTCAGTCCATAAATACGCAGACGGGACTGGACAGGTGAGATTGAGGAAGGCAAGTGAGAGAACTATGAATGTGTTGGGGTTTTAGGGGTTTGTTTTGTTGGTTTTCTATTCCTGTACGGATTAACTTGTCTATGTGGATTAATATGTCTCTGTAGATTGGGAAGGTTTTTCTTTGAGAGGTTTTTTCATAGATGGAAGGAGTGTGTTTTTTAATTAGAAGGGGATGGTTTGGGGAAAAAAACTTGGCTTTCTGCATAAAGCTCCCCCTAGAAGCTTACTGAATAAGCCACTTTCTATATTATTAAGCCACTACCAAACAGTCACATATAGCTGACAGAATAAGCTATGAACCATTAAGGAAAAAAAAAAGTGCATTTTAGTCCCACTCAAGTCAAGTCCCATCTCAGTCTAATGTTGCACCAAGCGTGAGAGGACAAGTTATTGTACTATCCTGTCCTGCGTATCATACCCACACTAAAAGTACACCTTTTTCCCATTATAAGCATAAACCAGAAAGAGAATGGGTTTTGGGGATAAGATCATCTGCTTAAAAAGATTTTCATGGTGTACCATAAAACCATTTGATCTGCTGAGTAAAATTTGATATATTCAACAAAGGCAGGGGCTGTTAGGTTAGTTTTCAATTAAATCCTCTATGAATAAAGCTGTCTATGTGGGATTCCTATGTCTGTATAGATTGGGAAGACTTGTTTGGGAGGGTTTTTCATAGATGGAAGGAGCATTTTTTTTTTAACTGGAAGGAGCAGGTTTAGAAAGAACTACTTGGCTTTCTACATAAAGCTCCCCCAGAAGCTTACTGAATAAGCCACTTTCTATGTCATTAAGCCACTATAAAACAGTCATATATAGCTGACCGAATAAGCTCCGAGTCTCATTAAGCTGCTACATACAGGCGCTAAAGTAGTCAAACAGAAACGTTACCAGGTGTGAGCGGAAGGCAAATGGTCGGGTCTTCCATATGCTTTGTGGATCTGAAATTTTTGAGATCCCGAGATGCCTTGTAATGCACTGAATCCTTCCAAAGGCACCTGCAAGAAAAAGAAGAGGCTTAATTAGCAACATAATTTTAACGAGCTGAATTTTTTTAACTTGTTCTTGCCAAAATATATTTCCATCTTTGTCACACACTTTTTGATGGTAGAGGTCAAGTCTGCGTACATCTACCTTCCCAGACCCCACCTCCGGATGGGATACATTGGGCTCGTTTTATTTTGTTTTATTCTTGCCAAATATGCATTTAAAGAAAGAGTCCAAATAAAACAAGATACCTTTGAGGTACCGGTCACAAATTGCAGCAAACGAGCCTTGTCTTCTTTGCTGAAGCCTTGAGCAACCTCCCAAAACCACTGGATAACCGGAGAAGCAGCACTGTAACCAGAATACTCCGTATTCGACTTCATGTCATCCACTGAGAACATAAACATGTATATTTAAGAAACGAATATATATTGGAAAAGCAWAGAATTATACTCCATCATCTAAAATATAAATGCCCACAATGAAAAAGGCACACTTTTAGAAATATGTAATTATTACACTTCAATTAACCAAATGACAATTTTACCCTTAATAACAAAGGGAGTAATGAATTTCTCAATCTACATCATTAAGGGTAGAATTRGAAAGTAAACACTAACTTTTGGGAGTGAACACTTCTTTTRGGACAAGCTAAAATAGAAATATGAACAATTACTTTGGGACTGRGGGAGTAACAGTTGCAATATAACAATGATGAAACATAAAGGGAACTTACAGTCGATATCTGGAAGCCCACTTATTAACAGTTCTAATTCCTTATCATGAAAAATAGATATCAAATCCCGAGGAATCAATTCGTTAAACCCTTCCAGAAAAGCATTTATTTGAGGACGTATTGCCGTAGTTAATCGATGCTCAGCRATTAAATCGACGTATTTATGTTTGTTTTCCTCTGTCACTCGAATATTTCTTCCACCAGGGATCAGTTCATAGTCGGTCACCTATATTATGAAAATCACAGTTATSATKAWWAWRAYSAYMWTWWT